CGGGCGCCGCTGGCCAAGGCGGTAACGCGCCTCCTCCCTCCCCAAGGACTGAGCCTAACGCCGCCGGCCTGGAGGGCGGCGGTCCGGACGGCGCGGGCACGCTGAGCGCTTCCCTTCGGCGGCAAGGCTCTTCCCAGGCCTCCCCAAACTTAACGGCAAGATTGGTACCTTTGCGCAAGATAGAAACCACCATTTCTGTGAAGGTTTCAGCTCATAAGCTGAACTTCGTGGGTTTTTTTTTTTGTTTTTTTACAGTTCGGATCAGCTTGCGATTTAATAAGCTATAGCTTCTCCCAGCAAATGGAAAGACAAAAGAGAAGTTCTACTTCCTTGTTTTCCCTGAAGCGTTTTGGATATTTGCTGAGTGAATACGTACAAGTCTTGACTTGTGACATCTTGTGAATGAAGCAAGACTAGAAATTGTATTTCACAACAGAACCGAAGACATAAATTACTAATTACTACAAAAGCAGGCTCAGCAATAGATGAGCTGCAACTGCGCATACTATATTACTCAGATCTCATTTCCCTCCCTCTTCCCCCTCCTTTTTTGCTAAAGCCTTCACCTTTGTCATAAAGGACTGACAGAATTATTTTCACTGAACATATTTAAGGTCGTCACAGTTGGAATGCAGACCAAATAACGTGGAAAAAATATTTTAAACGGGCATACAAAGTATGCCAAATAAAAAGGTATTTTTATTTAGGCTATTTGTTTTTCCCCTTCCCTGTAGTCCTACAAACTGAATCAGAGTACTAGACTGAAAATTTCTAGCTGACGAAGCCCAGTAATTGCTTCTACCACTTACTCCGCGCGTCAGATCAGCGTCTGCCTAATCCTAGCAGTAGTTCCTTCAAAGAACTAAAAAACAAGTAGGTTATAAAGAAAAGGTATGCATTTCCCCCTCATTCGTTCAAGTCTGTAGTTGTAGCCGTTTCCACTTTCAGGTTCCAGCTTTTTGTTTGAAACAGTTTTTTGAAAACTTCTACTAACAGTTCTGTTGAACTTAAAAGTAATTACATTAGGACTAAATACCAAATTGGACGAATAAGCCTCTGACCCAGAAACTCATATTTCAGGCACTAGCTCTTGTCTAAGGATTCGGCCTGTGCATTGTTTAGTTTTTACCACGTTCCTTCAAATCCCTCTTTTCTCTTTTTGGAAGTCACTAGATGGCACTCCAAAAATGCTGTTTCAAGAGCTTCAAAAAAATGTATCTGTTTGGAAGACCAGGAGCTAAGCAAGCTCAAGCAGATTTGTGTCACTTGGAAATCACGACTATGGTTGGGAAAGGTTGGGGGGGAGGAGGGGGACTCACTGGAATGATTCATATCCATCACTCTTATTAGATGGTTAAGAAACGATTGGTTTGCTTACAGCCTGATGCCAAGAGGGATATTGCAGAAAACGTTACTCTGCAGCACTCCAAATACATTCCACACAGAACACAAAATAACTCTTCCCCTTGTCTCTACATCAGGAGAATTAATTCAAGCACCGGTTGACCCAACTCGAGCATCAAAAATGCAGCCATTTTAAGTTTAACGCTGTAGCGACTGAGCGGCATCCAAGCCCACTTGGAACACCTCGAGCAAGGCATTCGCCGCAGCATACCAGCCAGGCCAACGCTGAGGCCGTTGAGAGCCACCCTTTTAAAGACTGACTCGAAACACTCCAGAACCCAAACCGTTATCTGGATGAACTCTCGTGCTACCAGCACAAAGGATATTTTAGGCTCGATGTCTTCTGCGCTGGTTCCTTAAGAGCCCTCTTGAGGGCTGAAGCGAGCCAGCCCACCGAGGGAAGAGAGGGAGC